TACTGAGGTGGAACAGCAGTGGCAGAGGAAGAAGACAAACAACCTGGGACTGCGAATCCCATTCCCCCATGCAACAATATGCACCCATTGCCAAAGAACGTGTGCATCTAGAATCAGGCTCTTCAGTCACGTGAAGACTGTTATCAGATTTGCCCATCAGTCTGGGGTGTGCTCATTTATTAGGGCTATGTTTCTAGGGTTTTTGTAATTCTATCAATGTGCTGCTTGTTATTTGTGTTTCTATATGGAGCTGTATGTCTCCCTTCTGCAAGCCCTCACCCCAATGGATCTATCTTTCAGGACTCGGTTTCAGTGGGGCTGGGTTCCTCCAGCCACTACATCAGTCAAATACACACACACACACACACACACACACACACACTAATGTGACATGCCTGACCTGGCTGGGTTGATCAGCATGTACAGGCTGACACCCTCATATGCCAGGAATCAGTTCAAGGTAACAATAAAATGCAGTCAGACACAAGCATGCAGGTGAACAGAATACCTCTGAATCCAGCTGTGTGTCCAGCTGAGACCCTCATGGGCCAGCATTCAGTTCATTAAGGCACACCTGAGCCAAACTGGGTCAATCAGCCTATACAAGCTGATCCCCTTATGCGTCTCAAGCTCAATACGTCCCAATCTTTTGCCCTAAGTGTCCTAGTAGTGGTAGCCTCTTGATGAGCAGACCCCACAGTATTTCTGGGCTTCACAGGGATCTTTGGCTTGGGTAAAAGAAGCGTTGCTGCAGAGCAAGTGGGGAAGGGAAGTAGAGAAGGAAAAATACACCCGGTTACCACCAGTTTGACTATAAAAGTTATTTATTGCTAAGAATATGAAATTTATAATGGTACTAGTAGTAATAGACATGCAAGGGAAAACAAACAAAAACAATTACAATATTACTCTGCTCTCATCGAGTATTTTGGGAAACCTAGCTCAAGCTTAACTAATAAAATTCAGGTTCAGAAACCTATGCCTAGAGAGAAAAAGAAAAATAGAGAGAGAGAGAGAGCTGGGATCTCACCGTTCCAAGGCACTTGGGTGATTTGTTGACAAGCAAAGTTCTCAGCACGATCCTTGAAGGGAGACGATCTGTTTCTCCCAGCTTCTTGAGAACAACAGCGGATGGTGTCAGGGAGATTTCTCTCTGTTGAAGCACACTGTTTGCTGCTTCACAGCTTTCTTATACCCTTAGTCTAGACTTTTCAAATTATTCTTTTAATTGTGTAAATCAAGAGGGTCCCAAGCCATAATTGACAGGGAAAATCCTGTTATATATACAGTTTAAATTTAAATAAAGTACGTTTTTCAGTGACAAGGAGCTACCTGGTTTGGAACACCTCAAAAAACTGATTAACAACCAGGAAAAACATTAAGTTTTAAGGAGTAACCAGACACCTAGAAGCCAGCTTGAAATTATATGAATATATTGGAAGGGATCTTCTCAGATGGCCTAGCTATGCTTGCACTGTGAAGTCAGCATCAGTGTTTTGTATTTTACCTGTTGTGAATAAGCCTCATCTTAGCATGACTTTCAGATTTTACTGTAGTCTTTTAACAGACTTAAGGGGATTACTTGGAGTGTTCATAAACTTTGTGGGGAGGACTTCCACCAGACATCCCAGGAAAAGTATGACAGCATTTGTGGTCAAGGCTCCAACGGGCTGGACGCTGTGATGAACCCTTAACCCAGGGGTGGGCAAACAATGGCCTTTGGGCTGAATTTGGCCCCCACAAGCACTTCTCTCTGGCCTGTGGAGCTCCTTCAAAACCCACATAATGGCGGCTGCCTCTCTAAAAGTCTCCAGCTGCAGCGCCTCAGACTATTTACTTGGGTTCCGGTTGTGAAGCAACCAACCCTGACCTCAGCCTGACCCAGCTGGCCTCGCCCCACTCCTGGCTCTAGCCACATTTGCAGATTGAGGGGGGCAGGGGGCAGGGCTTGGCCAGAACCTGTGGCGCCAGTGAGGGGAAAGAGCATCTGGGCCAGGTTCTGCTTTGCTGCATGGAGCTAGAAAGGGCCCTACCCTGCAGGTAAGCCCAGGAAAGTGGCTGCTGGGCAGGCTTTCCGCATGCTGTGCAGTGCCGCTTGGGCCGTGCAGGGTTGGGCTGGGCTGGAACTGGGGAGGGGAAACAGCAGCTAGGCCACAGCTCTGGCCCAGTCAGCACCTGGGAGGAGAGGGGCGACAGAGCTGGTGTCCGCTCAGGACAGGATGAGCCCAGCTGGAGTGGGAGGGGCTCAGCTGCACTTTCTCCCTACCTGCACTGCCCAGTCCCGAGTGGCACACAGCTCCACTGCCGCTTCTGCTGGCCAGTGCAGACCCAGCTGGGCCCATCCCATACGGAGCAGCATGAGGCTGAAGTCAGCTTCCCTCGCGCTGCTGGGGACAGGACGAGCCTGGCTGGATCTTCATCGGTCAGCAGAAGCGGCGGCGGAGCTGTGTGTCACTCAGGACTGACCAGCACAGGCAGGGGGAAAGTGCAGCTGAGCTCCTGCTGCTCTGGCTGGGCTCATCCTGTCCTGAGCAGCACACGGCTCTGCCATCACTTCTGCTGGCCAGTGCAGACCTGGCTGGACTCCTCCCATCCCCAGCAGCATGTGGGACACTGGCTTCAGCCACATGCTGCTCTGGATAGGACGGACCCAGCTGGGTCTGCACCGGCCAGGAAAGGCAGCATGCAGCTGAAGTCAGCTTCCCACATTCTGCTGGGGATGGGTTGAGCCTGGCTGGGTCAGCACTGGCCAGCAGAAGTGATGGCGGAGCCTCCTGCCTTTTGGGACCATCTGACACAGGTGAGGGGAAAGTGCAGCAGCACCTGGGGAAGCCACCACTTGATAGGGGATGGGATGGGCTGGCTGGGCCGCACCAGGGAGGGAAAGCTGTGGCTGACCCCCTGTGGCTCAGGACAGGAGGGGTTCTACAGCACTGGAGGGTGGTGTGCTGGTGAGGGAACCTGGGCTTGGGCTGGCTTCTGCTGTGCCTGGGCTGGGATGGGTCAGGGCCAGGTCCTGCTGGCATCAGTGATGGGTGGGGGAGTTGGCCAGCATTTGATGCCTGGGGCCTGATGGGGTAGGACAGGTGCTTGCTTGTGGGAGGGGTCTGGTGATCAGTACTGGTCAGGGGAAGGGAAGCTGGGCTACATTCTGCTGTCTTGCAGGTAAGGAGGGGCTGAGCTGGGTCCTGCCCCACAGGTGAGGGGAAGGGCAGGCTGGGCTGGTTTCTGCTGCACTGTAGGGTGCTAGCCCCCACTTTGCAGCTAGGAACCCTCGCTGGGAGGGGATAGGTCTGGCCATGAGGCCCTGACCTTGTAGCTGGGAACCAGGTGCTGCCAGGCTGGCCCTGGCTGGCTCCTTGCCCCACATGCAAGTCCAGGCTTGCAGCTAGCAACTGCCTGCTGAAGCCAGAACCGGACAGGCGGGGTAGGTACATAGGCCCAGTGCTCCTACTGCAGTTACTGGCACACCTACCAAGTTCCCCCAATCACCTGGGCAGCTGTTATAACATCCCTAATCTTAACACTCCACAGAAGAATAATTTGGATATGAGCACATCAAAGAGGAGGAAGGTAGATACTGAATGCCAAATTTTCAACCAGGAATGGACCTCTAAATATTTTTTTACTGAAGTAGGTGGAAAAGCTCTGTGCTTAACTTGCAAAGAAAGTGTGGCTGTATTCAAAGAATTCAAAGAATACAATTTGAATCAGCATTTTGAGACTCAGCATGTGTCCAAATATGAAAAATTGTCAGCCCAAGAAAAAGCAAAGAAAGCAGAGGAGATGGGTGCTGCAATGCAGAAAGAGCAAAATTTTTTCACAAAAGCATTGTCAGCACAGGATAGAATTATGAGAATGAGTTATGAGGTTGCACACATAAATCACCAAGAGGAGCAAACCATTCTCTGATGGTGAGTTTGTAGAGAAATGTGCACTCAAGTTTGCTGCAAATTTATGCCCAGACAAGAAAAAGCAACGTGAGAATATTAGTTTGTCAAGGCTCACTGTTGTGAGACGTATTGAAGATATCTTTGAGAATCTGCACCAGCAAGTGAAAAGTAAGGTTTCTCATACTTTGCATTGGCACTCGATGACAGTTGTGATGTCAAAGACACAGCCCAGTTGTTGATTTTCAGTTGAGGAATCACTGAAAATTTTGAGCTTTCAGAAGAATTGGCATCAATGAAGTCAATGAAAGACACAGCAACTGGAAAAGATTTATTGGACACAGTAAATCAATGTGTGTCAAAATTGGGAATGGACCAGAAAAAATTGGTGAGTGTGACCGCTGATGGAAGCCCAAACTTAACAGGCAAACATGCTGGATTGCTCAAAAGAATTCAAGATTAAGTCAAAGAAACAAATCCAGAACAGAAAATTATTTTTTTACACTATAAAAAAGGCTCACTCATCAAAAGGCCCTCTGTAAAAATGTTCTAAAACTAAGCACTGTTGTGGACACGGTTACAAAAGCGGTCAAATACATTCGAGCAAGAAGAGTAAACCACAGGCAATTTGTAACTCTGCTTGAGGAGTCTGAATCTGAGCACACAGATGTTCTGTATCATACCAGTGTAAGATGACTCAGTTTGGGTAATGTTTTGAAAAGAGTGTGGGAACTAAGAGCTGAGATTGGTTCATTTTTCATAGTTTCATGTTTTCATAGTTGGTAGGGTCAGAAGGCACCTGAGCAGGTCATCGAGTCTGACCCCCTGCCATGGGCAGGAAAGAATGCTGGGTCAAACAACCCTGGCTAGGTGATTATCTAGCCTCCTTTTGAAGATCCCCAGGGTAGAAGCGAGCACCACTTCCCTTGGAAGTTGGTTCTAGCTCCTAGCCGCCTTGACTGTGAAGTAGCGTTTCCTGATGTCTAGCCTGAATCTACTCTCAGTCAACTTGTAGCCGTTCTTCCTAGTTACTCCTGGTAGTGCTCAGGGAAACAGGGTCCCTCGCATTCCCTGCTGGTCCCCCTTGGTAAGTTAACATGAAAGGAAACATGAACATGAAAGGAAAAGATTTGGATTTCCCACAGCTGAATGATGCAAATTGGCTCTCTGATTTTGCATTTGCCGTTGATATCATGGGCTACATGAACGATCTGAATTCATGACTGCAAGGGAAAGGGCTTTTTGCTTATGAACTGTATTCCAGTGTCAAGTCATTTATGATGAAAGTACTCCTTTTCTCTCATCAGACAGAAAACAAAGATTTCAGCCATTTTCCTACATTGCAGCAGATTACTATTTCTGATCAAAACCTAAAAAAATACACATCACTACCAGTGCAGCTGCATGCTGAATTTTCTGTCCAATTTGAAGATTTTCAAATAATAGAAAAAGACTTGTCTTTGGTCTCCTCACCTTACACATTTACTGTTGACAGCATTCCGTGTGACCTGCAACTTGAGCTTATTGACCTGCAGTGGGATGCACTGCTTGCACAGCAATTCAAACCAGCTCCACTTCCTAGCTTTTACACCTCTCTCAATGAACAGAAATTTTCAAAGATCAAGGCTCATGCCCAAAAGACACTTGTGCTGTTTGGATCAACCTATGTATGTGAGCAGACATTTTCTGTAATGAAAATCAACAAATCAAACCTTAGATCTTCAATTAGCGATGACCACTTTGCAGCAGTGCTCTGCACTGCAACAACAGAGATGATGCCTGATTTTGATTTTCTGGTTAACACACATCAGAGGCTTCATTCTTTGCATTGAGTTTCTTTGTTTGTCTTTAAGTTAACCATTTAAGTTAAGGTATTTATATTATGGTTGTATGCTTGTCATGTTTTCAGGAGTGTTAAGTTAATCACTACTCAAATTATTTTTTTTTAATAAAATTAAAATCTGTTATAGTAGATATTTGATTTTTAGTATATGATACTTTATCTATACCTTTTTAAAATGATTTGTTCTGAAAGATTGTGTGTGTGCAGCCCTTGACTCAATTGGTTTGGGTTTGTTCTGAGGGAGGTCTGATGCCCCCGAAACCCCACTTCTGGGGCAGGATGTTAGAGGAGTCACAACCCCTTGCTACCTAGTAAGTTGTGTCTGTGCCTCGTGGTCCATAAGGCAGAACTCTTGGGGCCCCAGCAGCAGGCCATGTACTGTGAGGATGGACGCTGGTGTTGGGCAGTGTTTCCCAGTCAAGGGGTACACCTTCTGATGTCAGGGATCATGTGATGAGGACAGGGGATTCTGGGACAGATATGGCAAGCAAGGCAGTTTGGTGTTGGGTGGGTGAGTCTTATGACACAAACCATATGACAGAGTGTAACTTTCGGTTCCAAGGCCACCTCTCCAAAAGGAGTACTTCCAGGGGCAAGGGGATGGACTTCCAGTGGCAATGATCAGGAGTCAGGGGGCAGGACTTCCAGTCCCAAGATGGCAACCAGGGGGTGGGGCTACCCATGGGGCCCTCGACAGCTCACCAAAACTCATCAAGCAGCCCTCCACCCAAAATAATTGCCGGCTCCTGCCTTAACCATTGTTCAAACGTTGCCCGTACCCCCTCTGACTCAGTCTCTTTCCTTAGCACTCCTTAACCCAGCAACTGAGTTTTAGTCAATCAAGTTTAAATAGGCCTCCCACACTGGGACCGGGGAATGTATGGTCCGAGATGCCTATTAAACATTTCTTCTGCTTAGTTTTGGTTAGATGATGGGGGGGGGGAGGGGAAGAGGGAAGGAGGGGAAAATAGAAAAAGTCCTTTGTAAGTCCAGCAAGCTGGGTGCCCAGGCTCCCTCAGGAACACAGAGCTGACAGGTAACAGGACCCATCAAGCCAGACAGATGTCATCCTCGACTTCAAGGGACCACTAACAATGACAATATTATCCTAACATCAGCTAAAAAATTGTGTGTACTGGACAGAAATGCATTTTGTCTAGATGCAGAAATTTATTTAAAAACAATATCTTGGAGGGGCTCATTTGCATAAACATTTCTGATGTTGAATTAGAGAATATATTTAATATTTTCTGTCCTTTAGGGAGTCTAATTCAGAAAACTTTCAATGCTATCCCCTGAAAGTCTATTTATTCAATCAATGCCATCTCCTGGAAGTTTACCTAAACTCTTTCTACAAATATCTCTAAATGTTGTAATAATTCAAAATCCAAACCCAGATTAAATCCACTTTCTAAATAGTCCATTAATTTATAACCTGCCAAAAATGCGAATGTCAGTTTGCTTTCTTTATCTTATTAATATAAATGGAAACAATTGGGGCCTTCCACAGACCTACTCTTTCCAAGACAGCAGTCTGAGTAAAAGTTCACTATGCAAAGGATTGCTAGTGGAAAACAGATCAATTTTAAATGCTAACAGAAAATTGGAGCCCAGTGGGTGTTACCTCTCAGCTCCCTGTTCTTGGGGAATCCTGACAGGACGCAGACTGTCTGACTCACAAAGAATCCCACCCAACCCCCACCTAAACAGAAACTAATTAAAATGCAGTGAGAGACTCACCTAAAACCCTCCAGATAAGGGTGACAAAAGTGCAACAACTGCCCTAGGTCTCATTTGCATCTGAAATGGAACAAGATAACCATTCATTTACATGAGAGATGGAGAACAGAAAGCCTGAAGCAGAGACTGCAGTGAATCCTGGGATCAGCGAAGCAGGGGAACACTGTATGGCGGGGAATCTGTGCTCCAAATGCTAATCAACCCACACACCCAGCTCAGCATTTATCAGACCAGTTCTGATCTGGATTTACAAAGGACTTTTCCTCCTCCCCCACCCCATCCACACACACCTCTAAGCAGAAGTAAGTTTAACAGGCATCTCAGGCCGTACATTCCCCAGTCCCACTATAGGAAGCCTATTTAAACTTAATTGGCTACAACTCGGTTGCCGGTTAGGGGATGCTGAGGCAAGACACTGAGTCGGGGTATGGACAACATTTGAACAATGGTACAGGGTTCATCGCAGCGTCCAGCCCGTTGAAGCCCTGTCCACGAGTGTTGTCATACTTTTCCCGAGACGACTGGTGGAAGTCCTCTCCACAACAGGTTATGAACACTCCAATAATTGCCTTAAGTCTGTTAAAAGACTATAGTAAAATCTGGAAAAGTCATGCTAAGCTGACTTTTACAGCAAGTAAAAATCCAAACCCCTGATGCTGCAAGCTATCTATTGTTTCTGAAGACACCAGGAGATATCCCATCAGTATATCTGCTATCCACAGGAATGTCAAGCTGGCTCCTAAGTATGTGTTTCCTGAGTATCAATCAGTTTCCTGAGATGTTCCAATCAGATAACCCTTGTCAATAAAAAAGACAATTTGATTTACACTATTGAGAATGCTTGAAAGAAGCTGAACTGAGGGTATAAAAATCTGTAAAAGAAGCAGCAGTGTGTGTGCTGACACCACCCACTTTCTTTTGGAGAGGCTGAAGGAGGCAGATCATCTCCCTTCAAGGATGGTGCTGAGAACTTTAACCTGTCAGCTTTGCAACCCGAGTGCCTTGAACTGGTGAGATTCCAGCTCTCTCTCT